TTGTATATCCTTCCCTTCACGGCTCAGGGGTCCAGGATTATCTTCTGTGTCTGTGTTAACTGGTTTCCCTTTTCTTTGTTGAAGAGGGTCTGTGCAGTCTTTCTGCCTAGTCCACCATCTTGTAGGATCTCTCAATACACACTTCTTGAAATAAGTAATTTTATATCTAAACTTTAGGAAATTCTTGACTGTATTGAATCTGACAGAGATCCTTTTGTAAAACATGAAGCTGTGGATTTAGGACTGATAGACAAAATTATAGATTTTAGGGATGGGTGGCCCATCTAAAGCACTCACTGTATTAGTGGCAAGATCCAGAAAGGGTTAATTGATGAAAACATTTGAAAAAGAAAAAAAAAGTAGTACAAAAACACTAGAAACTCTGAAAAATATATTAGGAAAACACAATCATTTCTAATTTCACAATGTTAACAAAGTTCTAAAATTTTAGGATAATTCATGTCTTTTTTTTTTTCAGTGTTAGGTTTGTCTTTTCTCCCCATAAGTGTAAGCATATTATGTATAAAATTTTAAATATATTTTTCCTAATACATATATATGTATATATATATCAATATGGTTAGGGTTATCATCAAGGTCATATTTGATTTTCTCAGAAGTTGAAACTTCCTAATGAAAGCCTTTGATCCTCTTGAAAAAAATTTGTTAATGGGCACGAATCTCCATTTTCTCTACGGATCAAACTGAGGAACAATAAAAATGATAAAATATAGAGAAGGGCTGAGAGCTATATTCCTATTTGGGGTAAAGCATTCTTTATATTGATAGAGGCAGGAATTTTTTCAATTTAAATTACACTCTACCTGTTGAAAAGCTTTTTCTGCTTGACGTTCAGCATCAATAACTTGTCTCTCAAGCTGCTGCATCTGTAAAGGTGAGAGGAATAAAAACATAAAAATTCCAATTTTCCCACTTGAAAAGGGAGTTTAAAATCTCACAACGTTCTATAGTTCTTTAAAAATGTTTAAAATAATTTATTAGATATGAATTAGATATGATTAGCACACTAAATGCTCTGAATATTTAAAAATTGATTAAACAAAATATCAAATGTAATATATACCATGTCAGTATTCATCACTAGAATTTTCTGCATTGAACTGAAAATTAGAAATCAATAGTCAACATACACTAAGAATAATAAATTAAATCCAAAAGAAAAGACAGACCACAAATGTTATATCTACTAAGGAAGTGGTGTATTCTCCTTGACTACATAGGTGTATGTTTAAGTCAAGACTCCAGGTGGTTTTAACTCCTTACAGATTGATGAAAGCAGAGTCTGATCACACACACACACATACACACACAAATCTACAAAAGCACCGAACACAGAGAAGAAAAATTATGACAGCTATTTAAAAACTTACATAGAGAATAAAATATTCAAAGACAAAGTAAAATACTAAAATGAGTTATTGCATGTAAAATAAACAAAACCTATAAAAAGGACCGAATGCAAATTAGCATAAGAGTTAGGTGTATCAGGTATTGAATCTACAAGCCATGATGCAAAACTCCGTATCAAATACTTTTCTTCCTCAGTGCTATTAAAAAAAAAAAAAAAAAAGTTGCCCTCCACTGGATTCCAACTCATGGAGAGCTCATGTGTTCCTGAGAACTGCACTGCATGGAAGCAGATCACAGGTTCTTCTCCCAAAGCACCTCTGGGTGAGTTCAAACAGCCAACCCTCTGGTTAAGTAATCCAGTACTTAACCATTTATTTACACAACCCAGGGACTTCAGTGCTGTCACTGGAAAAAAAAAAAAAACAACACTAAATCCACTGCCATCCAGTCAAATTCTGACTCACAGTGACCCTATTGGGTTTCCAAGGTGGTAAATCTTTGCCGAAGTAGATTGCCTCATCTTCCTCCTACGGAGTAGGTGGTGGGTTTGAACCGCAAACCTGCTGCTTAGCAGTCAAATGCCTTAGGTATTATCCCATGGTATTCCGTCTAAAATAGGTTGAAGTTTGAACTTGAGAACCATCTGTGACTCGATCTATGCACATTTTCAATTTTATTTTTGACTGGTTATCCGAGACGCACAGAACGTCATGTCGACCTCAAATTAACAACCAGGTTCCCACCCCCGCCGGGGCCAGCCACCAAGTAGCGGCCTCCTGGAGCTAGAGCGGCCCAATAGGAAAAGACGCTACCGGCTTTCGGCGGGGCTGGCTAGAGAGACCCGATCTGAGGCTGCGTTTTTTACCACACACGCTGTTCTCAATGCCTAAAAATGGTTTCCGATAGCGAAGTATCATTTTTTAAGGGTATCCTGCTTGGGAGCATTTCCAGTGTTTTAATAACCGTGTTTAGCCAAATTAACATTCGACAGGAAGGTAACATTCAAGACCATGAGCACCATCACCTTCGTGCATCTATTAGAGAAGATTTCTTAAAAATGCCAGACGTACAACGCATAGAGTTTAGTAAAAGTATCCGTGTTTACTGTATCATACTTGGAGAATCCGTGTATGGGAGGAGTTACCGGCCTATACTGAAACAAACTTGGACAAAACACTGTGACGAAGCTGAGTTCTATAGCTGTAAAAACGATCATTTGTTCAATATAGAAACAAATGACATGTGGCTACAGATGAGGGAAACATACAAATATGTCTTTGAAAAGTATGGCTACAACTACAATTGGTTCTTCCTTACACGTCCCACTACGTTTGCTGTCACTGAAAATTTAAAGCATTTTTTGTTGAAGAAGGATGCAACACAGCCTTTCTATCTGGGCCACACTATAAAATCTGGAGATCTCGAATATGTAGCTATGGAAGGTGGCATTGTCTTAAGTATGGAGTCGATGAAAAGATTAAATAGCGTTCTCAATTCTGAAAATTGTGCAGATCAAAGTATGATTTGGAAGTTAGCTGAAGATAAGCAACTGGCACTCTGCCTGAAATATGCAGGAGTTCTTGCAGAAAATGCAGAGGATTCTGAAGGAAGAAATGTATTCAATACAAAATCAATTGTACATCTTATTCAAGAAGCAATATCTAATAACCCTCAGCAAGTAATAGAAGGCTGCTGTTCAGATATGGCTATCAGTTTTAATGGACTGACTCCGGAAAAGATGGAGGTAATGATGTATGGTGTGTACCGCCTTAGGGCATTTGGACATCATTTCAATGATACACTGGTTTTCTTACCTCCAAAAGATTCAGAAAATGACTGAGGGCTAGGGAATAGTAGTAGAACTGTGCTGTCCTATACAGTAGCCACGTGTCACATGTAGCTTTGGAGGACTTGAAATGTGACTAATCCAAATTGAGATACAGTGTAAATGTAAAATAAACACTTTATTCAATAATACATAAATTATTTGAAGACTTAGTACCAAAATAAAGTGAAAAATTACTAATTCTTTATAAAGACTGTATGTTGCAAAAATTGTATTTTGATTAATAGTATATTAAACTATGCTATTAAATTAACTATCTTTTTGTCATTTTAATGTGGCTACTAGAAAAATTTTAATTACATATGTGGCTCACATATTTCTATTGATATAAAAAATATAGAATATTCAGTTGTCATCAGAAATGGCAATTTAACTGCCTGTCTGTGCCTTTTAATTTGAAAAGCAGTCTGTTGCAGGGATTTAGACTCTGGAAGGGGTTTCAAAAATTTTATATGTAAATAGCCATTTCCAAGTGCATTCTCTGGACCTCATAGGATCTTTTATCTTGATGGAAATATTTTAAATGTTTAGTGAGCAAGTATTATTGTCTAAAAGCATTTTATTAAGAGTCATTGTTAAGGACCATGCCTAAGGCACTTGACTGCTAACCAGAAGGCTGGCGGTTCAAACCCACCAGCCACTCCTCAGAAGGAAGGATGGTCAATCTACTTCTGTAGTGATACTGCCTCAGAAACCAAGAAGGGGTCACTATGAGTCAGGTCCGACTCGATGGCACATAACAACAACAACAACATGATATGTAGGAACACTTGAATTAGTATTGTCCCTCTGTCTAGCACACTGCTTAAACCAAAAAAGGACAACAGCACATACATGCCATTGCCACATTTTTTCAGTACTGGGAATATGCTGACAGTTGTCACCTCTACAATGTAACTACATTATATGCTCAAGGGAATTTTTTGGCATTTGTGGAGCTTTAGTCATACTTTTGAATACTGTTGGGGTTACCAGGAGAAACAGAACAATCCATAAGCAGACTGGAGATCTGTAAATGCTGGCAGTGGAAAAAAAAATGACTTGTTTAAGAGGACTGTGATAGTTGAAGCTGTGTGTCAACTTTGCTGGACCACAATTCTGTGTGGTTTGAGGTGGTGTGGTGTGGTTGTTCCCACGATGGGATCAGATGACTAAGTTTTGAGCAGCCAATCTGTTTAAAGGGAGTTTTCCTAGGGGTGTGGCCTGCTTCCAGTATATTTGTGGACATCCTGGGAGAGGAGATACTCTTCTGTGGATCAGGATTCTGTTGTGCTGCCTACAACTGTCCATGAGTGAACAGTCCTCCATTCAGCCTGGAGATCTTGGATTCGTCATTCGTTGGAGTCAATAGCTGGTGTACTGCCTGCCAGCCTTGAGCTTCTCAGCCCCTGCAGTTGCAAGAGTTGGGAAAAGCCTCCAGCTTGACGTTTGATCCAGGAACTTTGGACCTGCCAGCCTCTATAAGTGTGTGAGCCATTTTCCTAAGATAAATTTCTCTATATATATACATATATATAAGCTTTACTCATTTTTGTTTCTCTAGAGAACCCAGTTTAACACAAGGACTATACAAATATTTTGTCAGATTTCTCCTGAAATATTTAGTTTCTAGTGATAAAGTGTTTTACACAGAGTAAGTACTCAATATTACAAATTATTGAATTATGAATAATTATGAATTATTGAATGAAATGTCAAAGCCATCTGTCATCTGTAAAGCACCATCCATATGAAAGGGATTTCATTTTATTTACCACTGTCACACTTCACCATTAAAACATCTTTTTTCTGCTCTTGTGGCACTTATTTTCTATCTTGCATTCTTTTCCCAACTACACTATTAAATTGCTTGAATGCAGAATTCACATGAGTACCCTTTATATCCTTCATAGCATATACTATGTATATAGCATATATTATGTAACATATCAGTTACTCAATAAAATTCTAAAAGCTTAGTAGCAAGCAGTAACCTTAGGGGAAAAAAATCAACATTTTCCTTATAAAAAGCATGCACATACAAACACAACACACATACAGCATTTCATAGGACTTGGAGTACAAGATTACAAAGGTCATGGTGGTTTTGTGCTATCGAGTCAATTCCAGCTCACAGCAACTTATAGGACAGAGCAGAACTGCTCCATAGGTCAGTGTCCTAACCTTTATAGGGGCAGATCACCAGGTCTTTTCTCCCAAGGAGCCACTGGTGGATTTTAATCGCCAGTCTTTTGGTTAGCAGCCAACCAGTTAACCAACATTACAAATAAACAGGCTAAATTTGCTGGACATAAGAAATTATTTCTCTGTCTTTGAATACAATGAGTTATACAATGAGTTAGTTAAAACTACAGATTCAAAATGTCATTTTTGCTTTCTTAACAAAAAGGGACTAGTCCTTTAAATATTAATGTAGGGAAAAGTAGGAAGATCACTAAACTAAATTTGAATCAGAATTATACTACGTATTAGCTGTATAATGATGGACAAGTCATTTAACTTCTCAGAGTCTCCAATCTCTATTGGTAAAATGAGATAACATTTTATGTGACAACACTGATGTGAGGATGAAAAGGGAATGTATCCAGCATAGTATTTAATACTCAACAGATGTCCACTGAATGTGTGTTGAATATGCTTCATGAATTAAAAACAAAAGTTTTGCAGAAATTTTTAAAGCAGCATGTTTCTACCATATTCATTACTTTTATGAATAACTAAGTTAGCATGGTTTAGTTTTAAATGAAAAAATTAGAACAGAAAAGAACAAATATTGGCAAAGATGTGAGGAGACTGGAATCTTTATTCACTGCTTGTGGGAATATAAAATGGTACAAATGCTATGAAAAACAATATGGCAATTCCTCAAAAAATGAGAAATACAGCTACCTTATGATCCAGCAATTCTACTTCTTGGTCTATATACTAGCAATCTAATACAAGTGAAATAAACAAAACTATGTTCATTGCAGCACTCTTCACTATAGCCAAAAGATAGAAACAACCAAAGTGCCCATCAACAGACGAATGGATAAACAAAATGTGGTACATGCAGGCAATGAAATACTACACAGCCATAAAGACAGATGAATTCCCAAAACATCTTGGAACATGGATGAACCTAAAGGACATTATGTCAAGCAAAATAAGTCAGTAACAAAAGGACAATTATTATATGATCTCACTTTTATAAAATGACAAAAACAGCTCTACATACATTGGTGGTGACCAAAGATGGCTGGTGGGTTTGAACCACCAACCTTCTGGTTAGCAGTCAAATGCCTAAGGCACTACACCACAAGAGTTCCCTTCTACTGTTTGGCAGAGAGCTAATCCATGGAAGTGAGTCCAGTTCCAGGCCTGAAGGATAACCCAGAACCATAATCTTGGGGCTTCCACCATTCTCCATGTGACCAGTAATTGTGGTCATTTTTGTATTTTTAATTTTGTTCCACATTTTTCCTCCCATGCTATCCAGGATCTCCAATTTGATCCCTTTCTGAGTGGTTGGCATTGATAGCCAGGCGCCATCTAGTTCTTCTGGTCTCAGGGTCGTGAAGGTTGAGGTTCCCATGGCCCATCAGCCCCTGGATGAATTGTTACCATATGAATTTGGTTTTCTTTATTCTTCTTTGCTCCAGATGAGGTGAGACCAATACTTGCATCTTACATGGCCACTAGAAAGCTTCTAAGGCACCAGTAGCTACTCACAAAATTAGGATGTAGAACAAGATTTTTGTGTACTAGGTTGTGCCAAATTGAGCTTGATATCCCCCGAGACCATGGTCCTGAGCCCACAGATCCTGAGCCATGAGACCATGGTTACTCCATCAAGGTGCTTGGTTGTCACTGAGAAGCTACACCAAATATGTCCCCTGTTAGTTCTCCAACATATATGGATATTTTTGCAGCACAAATGCACATGTAAGAATATCATCAGCCAAGTCTATCTACGGTCATGGGTACATTCCCGTTCCTCAACCAACATCTGATCTTCTCACCTGTCTATGCATCCACCTAGTGTTTGTTTTTACTGGCAATGCAGTATCGTGTATGCAATGGTATTTGCCTCTGTTTTTATCTTTTATGCACATTTCTGTGTCCTCCTTTTCCCTATTGTTATTGTACTGATCACACACTTTTGTTATACTGCCTTTCCCTTCACCAGGCTCTAAAATTCTTATATGTGAAATATATAATATATATGTATATATATGTATATATATATATATATTATGTATATATGTATGCGTGTGTGTATACTAACCTCAGAGGATAGTATGAAAATGAAAATAAGAAAGCATGTAAACATGATGAGAAAAAGCTATTGGTATTTTGTTAAGTAAAGATACAGGCCACAACTCTTCTGTCAGTTTGTCCTACTGGGTTGCCTTGTATGTTGCTGTGAGGCTGGAGGCAATGCCACTGGTATTTCAAATATCAGCAGGGTCACCCATGAGACAGGTTTCAGCGGAGCTTCCAGACTAAGACAGACTTGGAAGAAGGAAGAAGCCATCCACTTCTCAAATAATTGGCCAGTGAAAACCTTATAAATAGTAGTGAAACACTGCCTGATATATTACTGGAAAACTTTATGAATAGCCCTTGAACATTGTCCAATATAGTACCAGAAGATGAGCCCCAGGTCGGAAGACACTCAAAATACGACTGGGAAAGCTCCTCAAAGTAGAGTCGACCTTACTGATGTGGATGGAGTAAAGTTTTCAGGACCTCCATTGGCTGCTGGAACACAATTCAAAATGGGAAGAAACAGCTGTAAACATCCATTAATAATCAGAACATGGAATGTACAAAGTATGAATCTAGGAAAGCTGGAAGTTGACAAAAATGAAATGAAATGCATAACAATTGATATCCTAGGCATTAATGAGCTAATATGAGTGATTTTGGCCATTTTGAATCAGACAATCATATAATCAACTCTGCTGGAAATGACAATTTGAAGAGGAATGCTGTGGCATTCATCATCACAA